TCCACAATATATGTATAGACATTATGATTAGACCTGGTGAGGGACAAGAGGCTGCAGCCTACCATGGTATACAATGCTACCACAACAGTGTGACAAAAAAGCCTCTGCAGTAAATTCTGTGTAGGTGGCAGACCTTAAAATTGCCATAAAATCAAGAACAAGGGGTTAAAAGTCAATCTAAAACAATGGTGTGAGAAATTCAAACTGGATTTTAAATTTTACAATTTGTTTTACTGGATCCGATCCAGTCTTCATCTTACTGTTAGTGTGCGCTGCCATTGTTAAGAATCACAGTGTTTCATGAGAAAATTTTTTTTTTTAACATAAAACGGTATTCGCACTTTAAATATTGTATCGACAGGAGGTTTCGCTATGGAATGGAGCAAGTGTGAGACTCAGGGAATGGGGTTGAACAACACATTTATTAACTCGAATTGGGAAAGGTACACACACAGGGACAGGGGTTACAGCGCTGCACCTACACTAACACACACACGAAGGGAAGAGACAATCTCAGCCTCCATCCCACTATATACAGTCTGGTAGTCCCCAGGTGCTATTCTCAGCCCGTTTTGCGTGCGTATGGCTAAAGCACCCTGCGTGGCGCTACATTATAAATATATGTTAGGCCCAATGATTTAACTTAATGCATTGCTGCATTTCATCCTGAAAATAATATCTAATCAAGTATAAAACTTAGCATTTTTTTAAATTAAGTGTATTGTAACGGATTGGGGTTCCCTGGGCATATGTCCTCGCAGCTCCCAAACAAATATAAGTAGAGAAAATACAGATAAAAGAAAGAAAATCTAAAAAGAACAAAAAACAATTAACTGTCAGCGGTAATGTGGTAAATATGTAACCAAGTTATATTTTTACATATATCAAATGTTTTCCTTGCTTTGGCATTTTTCACGTTCTTTATGGAATTTAAATACAATTTAAACCCCACATCAAAAGTACTAAAAGAGGGAGTATTATTAAAACATTTGACTTATGAATATGAAATTTACCCAAGATGACTAATAAATTCATTACTGTATAAATAAATGTTCTTTTTTTCAAATTTCCTCTTACATATTACAACAAAATATCAGAATCCTTAATATAAAATCTTTCTATATTTCTAAAAGTATTCTATATTTCCAGAGAATTCCCATGACGTGAATTTAATGTGCTCTGTCTGGCGATCTCTGTCGCTAAGGTTGGCGCAAGAGGTAGCCAGTTTAAGAAGCACTTAGTGATTAACGAGTGGGTCGGGGAGCACGTAGATTACGTAGGATTTAACATGCTACTTTAGTTATGATAGGTTTTGGAAAACACTCGTAAATTAATGATAGATCTTAAGATCAGGTTTATGATGTTCTTGCGCTACGATGCTTTCGGGAAACTCACCCCTGTTCTAGTTTGTTCTTTGTGTGTTCTGGACTGTGAGCAACTTTTAGTGCACCCCTCACTGTACTGATTGTATTATATGTATTGTATTATTTTTATTATTGTATGATTCGTTACACTGTGGCTGTGTTGTCTGTGTTAAGCTGCTGTTGCACTGCAATTTCCCTCACGGGATCAATAAAGTATCTATCTATAATAAGGAAATTAAAGTATTTTATATCTTGCACAATAAAATAATGACCTTATGGCTAAATGCCTCAATGAAGTTAATCAACCCTAGCAGTGTGCTCTGTATGAAGACACAGTGATGCTCCACCCCAAGATCAAAAGAAAAATAAAAAAGGGACACATACTGAATATGGAAGGTGATGATCCACAGAAGAAAAATAATCCTTGTTCTTTCCTGTTTTGCTTTCTCATACTTCTGTTTTAGTTTTCTTTAACCTTTTACATTCAATGTGCACTTGTGTCTGCTTGTCACTGCTCAACAAATCTTATCAACGTTACCTAATGTTTCAGTAAAAACTGTACAAGGCAAAAATCAATACAATTTTAATGACAAAACTGCTGCTATTCTGCTGTCTCCATTTATCCAATATACACTGATTACTGTACAAGTACACCATAAATTATTAGGCATACGTGAATACACTAATCCAATAACATATCTTTTTGTATGGAACAGGCTATCCTGCCAAGTTCTTGAAGCCACTACCCTGGTTTCCTGGATGAAATCCTTGGATCAATTATGTACTAATTAACAAATCAGCTAGATTGGCCAAATGGCTTCTGCTGATTTGTAACCATTTGTATGCTCTTATCTTGCAAAAGAGTATTTATATTTAGACTCTAGTAGCTTCTAAATTATTCATATCCTCAATTAACTGACAAAAATTGATTTAGAATGAAGAGGTACTGTATAATCTTCTGTACTCTATAAACAAAAATCTAAGGACATCTATAACTACAGTATGTACTTTACATTAACTTTTGTTCTTGCTACATCTTTTGCTTATGATTCTTTTTTTTTTCAGCTCAGACTAAAAGTTATACTATTGAATGTGATAACCAATCACAAACAATGATTGTTATTAACCTTTTGGTCATTGAGGATGATGCATGTTTTGTATTATCCCACAAATCTAATTCAGACCAAGCTTGAGCTTCATGAAAGAAGTCTTTTTGCTAGGTTTTTCCTTAAAGATCCTGGTAACATTCCTGTTTAAGATGGATGAAAGGATTGTAAACAAAAGTGCCTTCTGTATACAATTTTCAATGCTTTTCCAGATGTGCCCTTAAGTTTGTTTCACTGAATAAAGTTCACTAAATTACTGTATTAAATGTATTAAAGGCTTTGATGATTTCTAATACTGATATTAGACCCATTCATAGGCTTCTCTTTTCAAAACTATTTTATAGTCATTCTGCATAGGAATCTCTACATTGGTTGCACATCTCAGGCTCCAGAGCACAAATATCTTTTCTACAATGTGGTGATCAAATTGGTGACAATATTCTAAATGAGTGCATTATATAATTTTAACAATATCCCTTGATTCAAATTCTCAGTTTTCAACTATACTGTATATTCTAAGATTGTTTCCATGTCTTTTTAATAACTATCCTCTTCTAGGCCATTTCGTTTTCATAGTTTTTTACTACTTGTTTGCACACTCTGCACTTGTCTACGGGCAAACAATGTGTAACAGTCTTGAATTTTATTTAAAACCTTTCTACATTTAATTTGTTGCATCTACAGTGTTTACCTTTCCACTTATTTTAGTATCATCTGCAAATGTGACTAGTTTACTACCTGTGCCAGAAACTGGATCAATATGAATAAGAAAGAGCAAAGATCCTAATACAGATCTCTGTGGTACTCTGCTAAATACAGAAAAAGGAAAACACACTCCCAAAGATTATAGTTAAAAAGACAATTAAAATGCATTATCAACCATTAATTCTATCTATGAACTTTACTAATTACATTAACCCCAATTTGAACATTAAACCCTTGTGGATTTTATTCATTTCTATTTAAAAGTCTTATACAAATAAAAGCACAGAATCTTATGCTGTGTGTGTTTCCATTACTGTGGTTGCTTGATGAAAGTATTACCAATTTATTTAGTCAAGACTGATCTTTTCTCAATCCATTCTAAGTATTACTAAGTATTACTATTACTAAGTATATTACCATATTTATGATCCTCTGTCTAAAAATTACTGTCTAAAAATTACTTCTAAAACCTAACAGAAGTCAGACATACAGTATTGGTCTATAAAGTAATTACTTGGTTTCTTGTGGATGGACATATTACAGTATCAAAACTTTCAGTTTCACACAGCCCTGTCTTCAGACTGTTGATAGAGATCCATCAGAGGCTTCTGAATAATACCTCGTTTCATTGAGAAACGGTTGCACCCTGGGGAACTATTAATCTTGAATGCTTCTAGTGCTTGAAACTCTTCTGCCTCTTCGATGCTAATACTATTGTAGCGTTTGCAGGTTCTTTTCAGAACTAAAGAACAGAGGAGACGCGATTAACCAACGAAGCACTACCTTTATTTGTTAACAACCACACAAAACCAAACACAAGATCTACACACACAAGAGGAGACTGACGGAACTCGTACACATCTTTAGGGTGGTAATTACCTAACAACACACTATACTTTTACAGGACTACACAGGGCACTAGAACTACTAGGACATTATTTACACAGGTAGGGTCAGCCGCTGGTCATCGTGCTGACCCTCAGACTCTCCCCGGCTACCACTCCCAGCATGCCCAGCGGTACTACGAGCGCCTAAGGGCGCTTCCTCCTCACCACCAGGCGAGGGCGTTACACTATTTAATACAGAACTACGTCCTGCCTGAGGCATGTTGTTGACTTCTTAATGAACGTCTAAGTGAAAAACATTTAGAGCATCAGCCATTTCCATTTCATTGTCACAGTTTCTCAGTTTCCCCCAGAAACTGTACATTTTATTTTGTTGTGCTAAATAAATTTTAACCTCCCACTCTTTGCAGTTCTGTTTTTCTTTTTTTATCTACGTTTGCAATTCAATATCATCCTTGTCTGAAAATGGATTCTGTTATTTAATTATTTTCCCTTACATTTTTCGTAATTGATTTATTCTGCAATTTCCCTTACGTGATCAGTAAAGTATCTATCCATTGGACTATTTGGGAAACAGCCTTTTAAGTTTGGATTTACATACACTTAGGTTGAATCTGTTTTCTGCTACAAAATACAGAGTATACTAGTTTTGTTCCTTATTGAAATAAAAATCATTTAAAACAAAAATGGCTAATAACTACAGTGATGTCACATTAGAAATGTGCACAAAGTATTTTTCTTCTACACAGTAAAAAGGTGAAATTGCTGTGCTCGAGACGTGCACGTTGAAGTGCATATTTTATTTCACCTATTAATTATGCTGTATTTTTAAATGCATTAGGTGCCTTACCAAACCAATTAAGTTACCACACACTTACAATAAGTGTTACTGTGGTGAAGTTTACGTAGCAGTGCTTCGCTGATTTAGAGACAGCCTCTTCACAGCTTTTGACCTGAGCCTGCCTGCGTCGCTGCTCACATTCATTCTAGTTTTGAAACAGTGAGTGATAAAGTCAGCCTTCGAGCGAGTTGAACAGGGTTTCAAGAAGTAGAAAGAAATGCAAGCCGAAGATGTAAACACTCTCCGTCCTTTCCCCTGTGGTAAAAACCTGCGGTAAATGCTGTATGATATCTAAACTAAGATGTAGAGAATTTTAACACGGTGACTAATTTGAGCTGTGGTACACTAAAGTGGAATTTTGAAATAATTGTGATTGTTACATCTTCGATTTGTGAAACATCCTCCAGGTCCCCAGTACTAAAATACAAAAACAATGCTCGATGAATTGCTGTTAATTTTGTTAAACTGAAATTTGTCCTTTCTGAAACTTTACTACCCGAAGACTGAAAATGAATTTATTCTATCTGTGCCTTCTGCTGAATTTCTTGAAATTGGTAAGTACTATATACCATTTATGCATTGCAGACTTTGTGTTATGTGAATAAATTCTGTAACCTGATTGTTGACAGTACAGCTCCTTTTTATTCTGATAACATGTATGTTAACCAATTTTCCTGTGTGTAAAAATGTCAAAAAAAAAACTGAAAGGGCTGGTTAAACAAATCGTTTTGGGATCAGTCTCGTATCTTGTATTTTTAATTGTGTCTATTATTTTAACTATCAGTATGATTCCATTACAAGGTGTTATCGAAACAGACGTCTGGGAATGTTTTGGGGGAGCGATATAAACATTAAGATTGAGTTTTGTTTTTCTTTTCGTACTATACTGTATGTGAATGTTTATATTTAATCTCTAAATATGTGCTAATTGTTTCTGAAACTGAACCCCAACCAAGTTAATTCCCTTTATTTCTCTTCAAATGCGGTGCGCCAAGACTTAGAATACCAATTCTGCAACCTTCAAATCCTATAGCTTAATATAGCGAAGAGTGACTAAATATGCTAAACATATCTATAAACATATAAAGAAGTACTGACAAGATTGGAACAAATGTTCATTTATTTTTTTCAGTTATTATATATTTATAATTTAAGGACTCTGCTTAGTCTGTTACAGTTTAGACAGTATTATTGTAGGCATTAGCAGTGTAAATTTACATGTTGGTCAAATTATTAAAGACATTTTCAAAATGTATTAAATATCACTTGCATGAATGGAAATTTCAATCTTTATTATTTAATAAGCCTATCAAACAACCACATTGTTGATAATTGATTGAAATTATGGAAACCCTTGGAAAATCTTACTGTGAAGCAATACAATAGCATGACTAGCACAGTATGTTATACTGTATTTTACACATGATTAAAACCAAGAGCAATTATTGGGATCACATTGCTGAGTAATTTCTACAGTAGTTCCCCTTCTAACTTGCAATTTCACATGCTGAAAACATTCATTACGTGAATTCTAGGATGAGCAAAGTTTCATTTCACATTCTCAGGTGGACAAGAACCTGTAATTCCAGAACTAGGGCAAAAATAACCATATACAGTATGAATATGGAACTAATCAAAGACTGCATTTTCTTTTCAAACTATAAATATAAAATTACAGATAAATACTGTAATAAACTCCACTAATCCAAAATAGGTTTAGACTGTGAAACATGAAAATGTTGAAAATTGTAAAGGTCATTATTACTTTTAGATGTTAAATTTAAAATGTGAAGCCAGTGGTCAAATAACAATGTTAAGCAATAATTAAATGAAAATAAATTAAAACAATTAAACAATTATGTTTTACTGAGTTCAGGTAAACTGCGTTTGAATAACCTACAAAGCCCATAAAGTTCTTTTGAATTGTGAATATACAGTATATGCAGTAGCTCTTGACTATGAAATAAAAACCATTAATCACATTATTTCCACACAAAATGGCAGTACTTTAACAGTTTCTATGGCAGTCATGCAATTTGTCTAATTGTGCCCCATTTTCTCTTACAAATGTTTCTCTCATATGATGGGCTAATTGCAGGCTACTTATGACTTATTTGGTTAGCATATCTGATTGAGTTATGGAAATAAGACAAAATCTTCAGGTTCTCCTTGCTTTTTGGTATAACTGCAATTATAATTAGTAAAAGTAAGATAGTATAAGAATGTAAGACTGAGAAAGGTTACAAAGACAAGAGTAAAGAGGAAACCATTCAGCACATCTAGCACATTGCAAAAAGCAGCTTTATCAACAGTTTGCATTGCACATAGCTGGTTGTGAAAGAACATACAATATAAAATGAATGTGAATAAGATTTCACTGTCCGGCATTACAGTATATTTAGATTTAGAGTTTAGTGGTTGTTGCTCAGCAGCTCTGAAGATTTCAAATACATCTTAAACATTCTTACCATACAGTATTATTGCCTTTTTCTAGTTGTTTTCAATCTAAGCCCTGAACAGGCTGTGTGATCTAAAGGTCAGGTAGTGGTGGTTATAAAAAGGGGAGTTTGCCTTTGCTCTTTTTTCTACAGTATCATTTCTTCCACTGTAGGACAGCTAAACTAGTTTTTTCATATTGTGATGGTGCACTTGACTGAGATATCACAGTACTACTCTACATTCAGTTGTTTATTCCTGGAGAACCAACTGGAGCAGATACAGTTATATGATTTACTTTTGTTTCATGGGCATACAAAATCTCAAGCCCCACACAATAGATGACCTATATAACATTACACCATATTTTAGAAATGGAGTTCTCCCTCTTTCTTTAAAATTTGTTTTAAATCATTTGTTCATTTATTTCAAAGTAATAATTTTGAAATGAACAATTGAAGACTACATGTAACTGCTTCTTAGTTTTTAAGTGCAACCTTAATTTCAGAATCACTGGAGTTTTCATGCAGAAAAAAATGTCAAAAGCAAATTTATGATTCATGACTCCACAAAAGGATCTTAGAATCCCACAGTTAGTAAAAAGGCTTTAAAGAGAAATACTAAAAGTGATATAAAGACAATCCTCCAAGAGTACAGTAAATTAGGATTTGTTCTTTTCATTGTTCCAGTTAACAGGTAAAGAAAAATACATTCCTTAAAGCATATGTAAATATTTATTTTAAACTCATGTCATTTAAAAGTACCTTTGAAAATGTTCCTATATCGTATACATTATATTGAATTATATTATAAATATTGATTTCTCCATGTAACAGTAGCTCCAGAACTATAGCATATAGAAGCTTTTAGGCTATTATAGTGGTGAATTATGCAAAGGCACACAACATAGGATTAAGAATGTCCACAATTAAGCCCCATGCCTAATGCTGCATTACAAATGAACAGTTGAAGCAGAATGTATTAAATGTATTATATAATCTAAGGAAAAAAAACAGGATATTTAGATACATTTCTAAAGTTTATACTAAAATGTAACATTTAGCAAAATAAATTAGTATTATAGAATATGCAGATAATATCTTATGTCATGTCTTTTAAACATTTGTGTGCCCTCCTTGGATTGTTATAAGACATGTGTAATTTTTTTTTACCAGCAGAATTGCTGGGGTACCCGTTCTTTCCCCTATCCCTCTGTCAAAATATGCTGACCTCCCACAGAAAGTCATAGATTGCGGTTTGTTGAGATGTGTGACTAGCTAAAATGTCTAAAAGTGAAGAAGGGCTCCGTCTCTTTAGGATGGGACACTTTGAAACAAGCCAATGCACAGCTAATCAAGGCCTTTTGGTTGTGCTAGGATAATGGGGATGTCATACTGTCTTACTGTATACCAGAGACCACTTCAGATGCCACCATGGCAGCAGTCACAAAGTACAAAACAGTCTTTTAGTCTGTTATTTGGATAACTGGTAATTTTTTTTGAGTAATTCAAGGAGCAATAGTAAAAGATACTGGGGTGTCAAGAGATTGAAGTTGTGCTACTTTGGCCTGCAGGGAGAAGAAATCAGTATAGGAAAGCATGGGCTATCTGCATAACTTGAAGCTCCACATCAGAAAGGTTAAACACTGAAAGGATGTTGCAAATTCTTTAGGGTGCTGGGGTGAGGGGGGACTGTTTGTAGAAAAGCCAAAACACCAACTATGGATGAGTTGTAGGAGATTGGTCATCTTCTCCTCAAGGAGCCAATAAAATGGATTGTTTTTCCAGATAATTTTCTTTTAAACTATTTACATTTCTGCTTTTTTTAATGACGTATCTGGATTTTCTGTTTGTATTTTTAGTATTTATACTTGTAAGACACAATGTCTACTTCAATGTTTTAATAGTGGCAAACAAAATGAGAATTTAGATCCTTTAAGCAGTATACAAAGTGGTGTTTGGCAGGCACTTCCCACTGATAAATTTAGTCTGGAAACTGTCTTAGCACACAGAAAGGAATGTCACAAGAACCTGAAAATTCACTGAAGCCTTACATTGAAAATGTGGGCAAATGTCTTCTCATAATATTTGTAATTCATTTATAATTCTGAAATATTATTACACATCACAATCATGCATAGTTCAAGATAAGATGAGGGTTCTCTCTCCTTCTGTATATTCTGGACACCAGTGATAGAGCTGGTGCATAATTCAGCTTTACAGCTCTCACATGAACAAGGGCAGCACTAAGACTCTTTTCATTGTTGGGTCAAATTTTGTATCCTCAGAAAGAATGCACATATTTGAAATGAATATGTTTGTGCTGTTCTTCCAGAATTTTGTCCAGGAGCACAATGACAGGCATCAAAGGTTCTCAGTATATAGAAATAAGTAATTTTAACTCAAAACATATTAGATGCTTATTTACAGCATGCAAATGATTACAAAAGTGGTCCATTCAGACACAACATTTCTGTAGTGTGGTGACCAGAATTGTACACAATATTCTAAATGTCATCTTACAAATGTATTATGCAACTTTAATATTGTATCCTTTAAGTACCCTTTCTACATTTTCCATCACAGTATGCATTCATTCTGTTTGCCCTTTATATATTTTCCCTGTTGGCTGGAAGATAAATGGTGTCTGCATGGACTCCTAAGTCTTTTTCATAAACAAAAACTCAAGCTCAGTGTTTCCAACTGTATACTTGTAGTTCATGATATTGCAAACTCCAATAATCTATGCTTGTTTACATTATGTTTGATCTGCTCAGTGATTTCCCAGTTCTGAATCTGGAGTTTACTAATCTTTCTAGTTTGGTATCCAAACCAGATCATTGATATACAGTAAATGAGATAGGCATTCTCAAGGCAAGGCTCACTTGTAAAGGGGCGGGGTCTAATGTCATTGTTCTCTACACAGCTTGAACAAAAGTCTCTTTCAAATCCTACTTTTAATTAATGCATTAAAAGAATGTGTTTTATACTGTACTTTTATATAGCTGATGGCTAGGCTTAAATTCTACATAGCCTCGTGCCATACACAACATTGTATAGGAAGAATGTTGCAACAAAGGGACTAAGCCATCCTTCAGCAAAGTTCAGTTAAGATTAAC